ATGCTGTGTCCTGATTACATCGTGTGCATACACTCACCCTGGACCAAAGATTCCATACCTCGTTTATGGGAGAAAGACAGATCTCTATTAGTAAAGAATGATGTTGACTTCAAAAGTAGCAAATTTGTTTAACAATGGCCCAAACAAATATTAGTCTGTTCTACTGCAGTAGAAGCCTTAAGAAGGAACTGAGCAGTTCGAGTGGGGTTTCAGGAGAAGGCATAGTCTTCCCAGACAGGGTGATCTGAAGGTTAGGTTCTGGAAATCGCAAGAGACTTTTCTAGCTGGAGAACCAGGGAGTATGGCAGGAAACATCTCCATCATGAGACCTATGTCCCCAATGGCTTTGCTCTGACGGGAGGCACTTCTCCAAAGAAGGTGCAATTTACTGGGGAGCCCAAAGTACTTTTGTTTATGTAGGCTATAATTTTGGATATTTATAATGTTAGACTTTAAAATGGAAAAATTGTTAACATAGTCACTTACAAGTTCTTTAAAGAGTAACAATAATGAAACCATTACATGTAAAGATAAACAACATCCATATATGGATGAAAACAACCATATTTCCCGACACATAAAAATGTGAGGAGCATGACATTGAGGACATTTTGCAAATCTCTTTAATGTATGGCTTAATAAAAGACAGGTGGATTCACATGTCTGCTTTTGTATTCAGTCTATTGTGATCTATTGTCTTGGCTTAAGTATAGGGGAAAAAATATCTGGTCTCACACAGATATTTAAGAAGAGACAAGCATTACAATAGCTTTTCCAGATAATTCTGGATGTTCTCTGACACTTCAGCAAAACTCAGCAGAGGTTGTTTTGGAAAGGTCAGGTGATACGACCCTGAGGTCATATCATTGCACTCTCCACGTGCTATTACTGTAAAAGCCATTGGTCTAGTTTGGGCATGGTCAGATATTTTACTGGTGCATAAACATTCATATATGACATTTAAAAATATCACATTTGTTAGTATCATCGCTGATCTAATCAGAAGGCTCTTTAAATATTGGAAAACTGTTAAGCGCACAATGGCGAACACCGGGTACCCAAACTTCTAAGTTTTGCTCTAAATTCACTGTTTGGCAGCATATACCGTCAAGTTTGTGTGTGTGTGTGTGTGTGTGTGTGTGTGTGTGTGTGTGTGTGTGATGATGGACTCAATTCATTTTGGAGAAGATATCTGCCAGATATCAGGTCTAAATTGCAATAGTTTATCTGTCAGTTCTTCTTTCAAGTAAAAACATTGTTGCATGGGGGGGAAAATGCTGCTAGTTTAGCTTGCAACTCAATATCATTAGTACTTTTCCTTCACACAACCATCTTATTTTGATTTGCAGCAAAAGTGCTTCATGTGTACTTTCCATTGCACAGAATAATGAAAATGACCTGCTAAACAGTCACATTTTTTTTTATTAGTTTCAGGTGTACAAAACAATGCAATAGTTATACTTTTCACTCCTCACAAAGTGACAGCCCCCCTCCCCTAATCCACCACCTCTCCACACCCGATATCATACATATCTATTACAATTCCATTCACTCCACTCCCCACACTGTACTCCACATCCTGTGACTACATATGTATTAAATTATAGTTGACATATAATATTATTCAATGGCAGCTTCAAATGTGCAGTGCAGTGGTCAGGCCTCCACACAGTCCATGAAGTGGTCTCCCTAACAAGACATGAGTCCATCTGGCCCGCTGAAAAACATTTACAACATTATTGATTATATTCCCCAAACTGTCTTTCCTATCCCTACCGCAATATTGAAGTTACCAATTTATGTTGTCTCATCCCTTCCCCTTCTCCCTCATCCCCACCCCCTCCCATCTATCAATCATCAGTTTTTCCTCTGTATCTCTGAGACTATTTCTGTTTACAATGCTTGTTTATTCAGTTCTTTAGATTCCACTTATAAGTGAGATCATATGGTATTTTTCTTTCTCTGACTGACTTATTTCACTTAGCATATATTCTCTAGGTCCTTCCACAACATTGCAAATGGTACGATTTCATTCTTCTTTATAGCTGAGTAATACTCCATTGTGTAAATGTACCACAGTTTCTTAATTCAGTCATCTACCGATGGGCATTTCAATTGTTTTCAAGTCTTGGCTATTGTAAATAGCACTGCAATGAACATTGGGGTACAAATATTTTTTCAAATTAGTGTCTTGGGTTTCTCTGGATAAATACCTAAGAGTGGAATTGCTGGGTCATAAGGTAGTTCCATTTCCAGTTTTATGAGATACCTCCATACTGATTTCCATAGTGGCTGCACCAATCTGCAATCCCACCAACAATGCACCAGGGTTCTCTTTTCTCCACAACCTCTCCAGCACTTGTTTGTTGATTTATTGATGATAGCCATTCTGACTGGTGAGGTGGTATCTCATTGTGGTTTTTATTTTCATTTCTCTAATGATTAGTGAGGTTGAACATTTTCTCATATGCCTGTTGACCACCTGTATATCCTCTTTTGAGAAATGTCTCTTCATATCCTCTGCCCATTTTTTAATTGGGTTGTTTGTTTTTTTGAGCTGTTGAGCTGCATGAGTGTTTTATAAATTTTGGATATTAACCCCTTATCAGATATATTGTTGGCAAATATCCTCTCCCATTCAGTAGGCTTCCTTTTTGTTTTATTGATGGTTTTCTTTGCTGTGAAAAAACTTTTAAGTTTAATGTAATCCCATATGTTCATTTTTTCTTTTACTTCCCTTGTCCGTGGGGATATATCAGTAAAATATTGTTCAGGCTAATGTCTGCAAATTTAGTTCCTATATTTTCTTCTAGGAGTTTTATGGTTTCAGGTCTTACATTTAAGTCTTTAATCCATTTTGAATTTGTTCTTATATATGGCGTAAGGAGGTGGTCCAATTTCATTTTTTTGCATGTGTCAGTCCAATTTTCCCAGCACCATTTATCAAATAGACCATCTTTACCTCAATGTAAATTCTTGCTTCCTTTGTCATAGATTAACTGACCATATATGAATGGATTTATTTCTGGGCTCTCTATTCTGTTAGATCTATGTGCCTGTTTTTATGCCAGTACCATGCCATTCTGATTACTGTAGCTTATAATATGATTTGATGTTGGGTAGCATGATACCCCCGACTTTGTTCTTATTTCTCAGGATTGCCATGGCTACTCAGGGTCTTTCATGGTTCCATATAAATTTTAGGATTATATTTTCTATTTCTGTGAAAAACGCCCTTGGTAGTTTCGTAGGAATTGCATTGAATCTATATATTGGTTTAGGCAGTATGGACCTTTTAACTATATTAATTCTTCCTATCCATGAGCATAGTAGGTGTTTCCATTTATTTGTATCTTTTTAAATTTCTTCAGTGTCTTATAATTTTCTGAGTACACGTCTTTTACTTCTTTGGTTAAATTTATTTCTAAGTATCTTATAGTTTTTGAAGCAACTGTAAATGAGACTGTTTTCTTAATTTCTCATTCTGATAGTTTGTTATTGGTGTCAAACAAATGCACTTAATTTCTGAAAACTGATTTTGTATCCTTCTATCTTACTAAATTCATTTATCAGTTCCAGTAGTTGTTTTGTTTTGGTGTTTTTTTAAGATTTTATTGGGGAATTGGGGGAGGGGAACAGCGTTGGGGAATCGGGGAAGGGGAACAGACAAGTTGCTGTCCTTTTTGTTCTTCAGTCTAGTTGTGGAGGACGTCGCTTCACTGGCCCATGTTGGTATTATCATTGTGCTCTTCCCGGGTGAGGCAGATCAGTCTCCGGTCATTGGACGGCTGCTCATTTTGGCAGCTCACGCTGGCTGCCAGTCACTCACGGGAGCTTATGGCAGCCCACTGCAGTTTCAATGCAGCCTACGCCGTTGCCAGTGACTCATGGTAGCCCAGCTCCAGGTCACGCTGTTGTTCACCCTCTTAGCTGTAGAGGGCAGTGTCACTGGCCGTAATGTGGGATCTGAACCGGGGCCCTGCTGCTTAGAGCTGGTGTCCTAAACCAACTCTTAACCAACACACCACTGGGCCGGCCCAGTTCCAGTAGTTTTTTAATGGAGTCTTTGGGATTCTCTATGTATAGTATCGTGTCATCTGCATATAATGACAATTTTACTTCCTCCTTACCAATTTGGATGACTTTTATTTCTTTTTCATGTCTGATTGCTGTGGCTAGAACTTCCAGAACTATGTTGAATAAAAGTGGAGAAAGGTGGACAGCCTTGTCTTGTTCCTGATCTTAAGGGGAATGGTTTTAGCTTTTCCCCTAAACAGTCAAGTTTTAATAAAACATTTTTACCACATAATCAAGAATGTATTGAAGTAAAATTAGCATTTAAAAAAATCTGCATGCCTGTGGTGGTAAAAAAAATATGTTAACTACTAATATAGTTTGGTGCCACTGTCTTGTAAAGGGATCATCAGCAATATTTTTCGGTTTTGCTTTTATAGCAAAGAGGGCAAATGTTAACACAATATAAATGGCAAATAACATTTTAGTGTTTTATAAGAGTAGTTGACCTTGCAGCCTGAAAAGGTCTCAGAGATTCCCAGGGTCCTACACCTATTCTTTGAGAAGTGCTGCTGTAGAATTGTGGTTCTTAAACATTAGTGTGCATCAAAATTGCCTGCAGAGCTTACTAAAATGCAAATTGCTGGGCCTCACCACAAGAGTTTCTGACTCAGTAGATCTTCGGTGAGCTTAAGAATTTGCATTTCTAACAAGTTCCCAGGTGCTGCTGCTGTTGCTGATCTGGAGACCACAATTTGAAAAGCACTGCTATAAGAGAAGGTGAATCCAGTTCTTTAATACACAAGCTATTTCTCATTTGGAAGTTAAGACCCACATCTGTTCAGTTATAAGCATGTTCTACATCCTTGTACCATCTAGCATTGCATTTTGCACAAAATTGACATTCCATAAAAAAATTTGGCAATCAAAATAATCTGAGTAGTGTTATTGTTATTGAAATACCTTTTCAGGCTGGCACCTTGGAAGAAGACAGGATATTATGAATGTGCCATGGACATGTTATGAGGGAACCTGATGTACCACTTCTAATCAAGGTTCTCATGAGGTAAGCTTACGTATGCTATTTCAAGAACAGTGGAGCTTTTGCTCTCTGTTTCCTGAAATGTTTCTGGAACCAAAAAGGAGGCAACTGCATCGTTATATGTGTATGATCCATAAAAGAACTGCCTTTGAGGACAAGCTATTTTTGTGCAAAGCCTGCATTTTACTCAACGTCCTTAGTTTCCAGGAAAAATGAATGAAACTGTGATCTCATTTTGCCTGTCAAGAAAATCTCACTGAAATAAAGAAGGGCTGCTTATCAGAGTTTCAGAACTGGCCTTCAAGGTTACCATGTCTAAGTAAATTTAAGGTCACTTCAAGTTAAGAAAAACAAGTTTGATGGATGAGGAATGGTAAGGTAGACAAGCTCTCATTTCAAATATCAAAATAACTCAAAATGTCCACATTTTAATTACTTTTGTCAAACTATATATTTTAGATTCATTGAGTTCAGGAAAGGATGGTTAAATGTCATGAAAAATTGAAATTGTATTTATATTTCGGAAATGATGAAGAAACATTGCATTTCTCAGTACTCTGCTGTTAGCTGGTTTTTCAAAATTTATTGGCATGATATCCCAGTCAGCCCCAACGTCAATCAAATTTATTAAATATTTATTTTCTGCTAAGGAAAACAACATGAAAGTGAGATATAGTAATAATCAAGTGTGTGAATGAATATTGAAAGAAACAATTTTTAAGTGTCTAGTATTGAATGTGTCATTTTTATTTCACTTATAAACAATATTCCTAGATATTTAATGTTTTCTTTTCTCACGGATACAATTTATAACAGAATAGTACGAATGCATTTTTTTTCCCCTTGTGGTTAGGTTTTAAGACATTCACTACACACTTTTGAAGTACAGAAAGGTTTAAATAAAAAAACTTAGTATGTCATCAAAAAAGAAGGAGGATGTAATCCTGGTAAGTGAAGATGCTGACTCACACATTTTGCTGTAGTGGGTGAATAATTCTTAGGGAAGAATGAAGTTCTTAGAACCAATGAAGGTTTTATTGATCTAAAATTATCACCACCAGCATTGATCTCTTGTAACTGTTTTCAGTGTAAATTCATCCTCCAAACCTATACACTTCTAAGTATACTGACAAAAATCAACCTTCTAGACATGTAATCTGAGAATCCAACCCTTTCACATGGTGACGTCACCAAACACTTAACAATCAGTGAAGTCCTAAAATGACTGCCCTCTTTGTCCTAACCTTATCAGTACTTACATTTTTGCTATGAAGCCATTAGTACCAACACCTAATGACTTATCTGCACCATATAATTTCTGGAACCCAGGATGAAGAATAAAGTTAAATGTGGCTACCCACCTGGAATTTGAATGTTATGTGTGCCCCCATGCTTCTTAGAGTAGGACTTTGCCCCATTTTCTAGAAACCTATGTCACTGCAAAGATAGGTAAGTCTTCTCTGTAGTCCCATTGCTTGGAGGGCTGAGAAAAACATGCACCTGGGAAGGCACTCCCATGAAGTGTGACATGGCCAGTTCTCCACTGATGCAGCCTTTGGACAAGTTTCCTGAAGGAGCTCTTTGCCCCCCCCCCCATCACCATGAGGCACTGTGCTGTCATCTTTCCTGTGCAGGTCATGGTGATAGGTAGCCCTGAGCAGTTTGGCCCCTACAGATAGATTAATAGTATCAACGGCTGCTTCCATTAGAGGGGCAGGAATAGCTGTTCTGTTGCACCCCAGGAATCCACTGTTTACAACCCACCAATGGCGTGCTCCTGATGCTTCTTTTGGAGTTAACACAGTGTGAGGTAGGTATTATTTCAGATTAAGGTAAACTCACTGCTTGTAAATCATGGAGTTGTGGCATTTAAGAACTAGTATGGACCTTAGAGATTATCTCAGGGAATGAAATGGGATCAACTCCCAGGCCATTTCCAAATGACTGATAACAGCCACCAATCCAGTAGTTGATGTTCTATGTTAAAAGTCTGAAGCTCTGTCTAGACTCAAAGGTAGAAAGTGCCCTGTTAATTCATAATGTCAGTCATGTGTGTAAAAGGCACTTCTTGAAATATCTTCTAAATGTAAATCATCCCTAATCTTATTCAAGTCCCTCACCTAACTATTGGGAAAATTGAGATTTAAAGGGGAGACCTGTCTATATTCTTGTTTATCTCTCCACAATGAATCATCAGGGGAAGAGAAAAGAATCATTGATGTCCTAACCTTGGGGACAGCTGACTTTCATTGTCCTCTTCACTAAAAAGAATAATAATAATAGAAAACAATCATTCCTTACAGGGAGTTCTTTTAAATCTGGAAGTCCAATGTCTCTGGTTTAGAGATGCTGTCATTATAAAGACCTTGAGCTATAGCTTGGACATGAGTCTTAGTGAATATTTAGAAGAAAGATTTTATGTCTAATATATTGTCATAATGTTTAATCCTGGTCCTACAGATTACTAAAATTACACTGGCAAGAGATAAGGTGTGATGAGGAAATTAGGGAAAAATTTTCAAAAACTTTGGTGGTGTTTGGAAGCTAAGTATTTCATGAAGGGCTTTGAATGCCATGGAGGATTTTAGAATCATTTATATGCATAGACCAGGGGTTTCTCAATCTTGGTAATACTGACATTTTGGACTGGATAATTCTTTATAGTGGGAGGCTGTCCTGAATATTGTAGATTGTTTAGCAGCATTCCAGCCTCTATTCACTAGATGCGAGAAGCACCCTCTGCCCAAGCTGTCAAAACCAAAAATGTGTCCAGACATTGCTACATGTCTCTGGGGAGACAAAAGCACCTCAAGTGTGAGAACAACTGATCTAACTACATCAGTTGCTAGAAGCCTCTGGGAATTATTAAGAAAGGAAATCATGAAAGCTTTAAGAAAAATTAATTGGTCATTATAGCATGATGGATTCTTTATTTAAACTTTTATACCCTACCTATTCATATAATATTTTAGTCTTTTAAATGGATGGTTTAAAAGGAATTTAGTGGAAGAAGGAATGTCTTTTTAGGAAACCATTTTATTCAATGTTTTTTTCATCCAAAAAATATTATTGACCAACCAATAAGCACCAGACATTGGGAATAGTAGGGTGATCAGAGATGTGGTTCCTGCACATATAGAGCTTTACAGTTTACAGGGGCAGGCAATCGAACAGGTAACTGCAATGGAGCAGTGGTTCTTAAGAGTTAGCAGAATCTGATTTACCTGGAGGGCTTGATCCTTCAGATAGCTGGATCCCTCTCTCAGAGCTATTGATTCAGTAGGTCTGGGGTGAGGCCAGAGAATTTGCAATCAGATGATTCCCAGGTGGGTTTACTGCCCAAGGAACTACACTTTGAGAGTGATGGTAATAAGAGAGTGTTGTGATGAGGCCATGGCCAGTTGCAATGGGAACTTACCTGTAAGCCACCCTGAAGGATGTGTGGAGTTTAAATAGATGAATCGGAGGATGGAGACCTTGAGGCCAAGGGATGATGATCCCAGATGTAGTCCTACAAGTGATGGTCCCAACAAGACACATAAAAAGTTAAGTTTTCAAATAGAAAGCTGTTACTAAAGCTTGTGACATTGTGTCAGTGTTAGTCATCGTAAGGACTTTCAGCTCAGCAAATATAAAGCTGTGTTTTATGGCCATGAAAACACAAACAAAAATATTGGGAAGAAATCTTTGTCATAATATTGATCATTCAGTTTATTGAATGCCTTTCCAACTGGACTGAGCATGGACATTAAGTCACATTATTTCTTTATGCCAGCCCCCAGGCCAATGCCTGACACGGGAAGATATCCTCTTGCCTGGACAGCACTAGAGGCATGTTGATCACGTTTGTTTCTTTACACTTTTGTTTTCTAGTCTTCATACCCAATGTTTTTATATTCTGGTTGCAACTCTGAAAATACTAACATAGTCATGATTTCCTGAAAATATATTAATACATACCTCTTCCCATCATTTCCACTTTCCCATTGTCATGGGAACCTTGTCCATGGAGTTTTATAAATTGAAAAAGGTGCCCCAAAAGCATAGATATATTGAACTAACTCTTAGGTATATTAACTTTTAAAGATGGAGTCTTTAGAAGTGACTTGAGTGATCATCTTGTCCAATAACTTTCATGTGACAGCTGACAAACAGTTTAATAAGGTTCAATAATTTCACTCAGAGCACACAGTTAGGTATAGGGAGACCTGGGATAAGAATCCAAGTCTTCTTAAGCCCCATAAAGAGTTCTTATAGCTCTTAGTCAATTTGAGCATATCAGGCAATAAAACTGTGTATAATTTGATAATATGTTAATTACTACTGGAATCTAACGTCTAAAAAAATTCTGCAGTTTCTAACCAGGGTTGGATCTACTCTAAAAGGAGTTATCCTCTTCCCCCCTCTGTTAAGGCCCCTCAGATATGCACTAAGATATGTGTATGTAGGTAAGAAGAGATGTCTCGTAGTGCCTGGAGAAGAGAAATCACAGCCTCCATTCTCTGAAACGCCTGCTTCCTGGGGGAACGGGAAGGGTGCTTTAAAGATGGCGGAATTTAGTATTCTGTTCCTACCTTAGACACAATCTTCATCTACCACATTCTTATTAGAATGTAGAGCTTCTGATAGCTCTCTTAAATTGTTCCTCATTCCGAGTACTTATAATGGCTTTGCAATTCTCCAAAAGGTTAATTTTGTAATATTTTGGTTGCGAAAGTGTTCTTTTAAATGATTGCAGTTAAGAGTATCTCAAATTGTCAAGATAATAATAGCACTTTGTACTTATCAAGAGTTTTTCCTCACCAGAGATCATGGTGTTTTCCAATGTGCCCTTCAGGGCCCACAGAATCACCCAGCTGAACTAGAGCTTCAGCTGATGTGTATGAAGGCTAATCCTTTTCCCACAATTGGAATTACTACACTTTGTCTCTTCACTTTCTTAATCTGAAAGTGAAGCATTTCTGTTGAATCTATCATGGCACTTTTCTGTGAACATTAAAATCTTGTACTTTTTGAAACTGGAA